AAATAAAAATAAAAAAAATAAATAAAAGAGGCCAAAAAAACATGGATTTTAAAACTTAGCATTTAGAAGACTAGAAAACTAAATGATACAATCTTTTATTGATAAGGTACAATCTAAAGCAGAGAAAAATAAATGATATAGGAAATCGACTTCATACCATTAGCTACTATCAACTATCAAATCATCATCATGCCATAAAATCAACAAGATTACTAGCATCCAATGTTTAATAGTACAAGCAAACAACATGAAGTTCCACAACACATTACGACATATTGCCTCATCTTGCTTTTGTAGTTTCCATCCATTAACTAGAAGCTACAAATTGCATTGGTGGGCATGAAAGGCAGTTTATGAGCCTCTAACTTTGGACACATTGATTCCATCGGTGCGCATATGTGAAACGATCCAAAAATTGAAAATTATTAATCATGGGGTTTGGTTTTATTTTGGTTGGCTAGGTGAATTCATCCATGGGTTTGGTTTGGTTTAGGTTGATATTGCAGTTTCAATTTTCTGGTGATTCTTTTAAAGACCTCAGTAAGCAAGAAGAATTGGGATCTATAGGATTTGAGGGAAAGTTGTAATAATTTATTTTCCCCCCTTATTGTAGCTTTTCCTTTTTGGTCCAGCAAATGTATTTTTCATTATGTTCTTTCCATTTTACTTTTACGTGGGAGCATGTTTTCTCTTGGCTAAATTTGGATATCTAGAAAGTGGTCAGAAAATGTCTGTGAGATAAATGAAGTGACGCAAGAAAGGAAAATTATTTTATTGTGCATTATTAAAAACAAAGATTGAATGTGGTTGTTAAACATTATGATCTCCGCTTCTTTTTCAAGACTTATGTTGACAAGTGCTACTCTAAAATAAAGTTTGGAATAAGTGTTTTTTTTTGATAAATTTTATGGTGGTGACATCTGGGCTGGTTGAGCGCACTTCAATTAATCTATTAAGCAGCGTGCTAGAAGCCCATAACCCACAAGCACATGTGCCAGATAATCTTGCTCAATGTTTTAAAAGGCATTTTTTGGACGAGCCTCGGGCGAGCCCTGGGGCGAGGCGTACCAAAAACGGACAGAGGCGTACTGGCGGGGCATAAGTATCGTGGGGCGTAAGCCATTACATTCGGGGCATTCGCCTAGGCGTAAATCCTAATGTATTGGGCGTTCATTTGGGGCATAAGCCCTTAGAACTTTCTAAATTTAAGCCAAAATTGCTTAATAAATCTTTTTTTAACTTAAACATCCAAAAGTTAACTCATAGTAAATTCTTAAACTAAAAAATCTCAAAAGCCAAAGGTTTTTTCTTATTGTTTATCCCAATTTCATAATCTTTACCCTTTGTCGTTTACTACTGAGTAGCAAATACACTTTAAACCTTTGTTTGCAAAGTGCAAACTACAAAGCAAAGAGTTTTGTCCTCCAATTCTTACGCTGTTTCCATGTTTGCGTTTTTTTTCTTTATGCTTCATGTTCATTTTTTTTATTTATTTATTTTTTTTTTGCATTATTTAGTTTATTCTTTTCAAGTTAATTTTTGGATTTAGAATTTCTTTTGAAATCGCTCTGTTATTTTGATGACTCTATTCTGGCTATTATATTATACAATAAGTATTTGTGATTTGTTATCTAGTTTAGGTTTTTAAAAAATAACTTTATATTATTATCATTTTTATTCTTTGAATTATTAGGAATTAGAATATTATTTTAATAACTATCATAATCATGTTAATTATGGGTTTTCTTACAAGGCAGTCATGTTAATTATAGGTGCAATGCATCTTTTTGTTTCACTTTTTCAAGTATAGAAAAAAATTCTTTCGTATGGTTCATGAACAAATTAGCATGTTTATTATAGATATATATACTTTTTCCTACTAATTTTATAATTTTCTTGAACGTTTTACAATTTTAATGAGTAAGGCAGGCTTGGAATGGCTCACTAGGTTATTTAACATCATTTTAGGACGACGAAGATGCCTGAAGAATGGAGGTGGAGTACGATGATTCCGTTATACAAGAACAAAGGTAATATCCAAAATTGCAACAACTATATGGGTATCAAGCTGCTGAGCCACACTATGGAAGTTTGGGAGAGGTTAGTGGAAGCATAGGTGAGGAGGAGTGTGTCTATTTCCGAAAACCAGTTTGGATTCATGACGGGTCGTTCGACTACGGAAGCCATTCACCTTGTAAGGAGGTTGGTGGAACAATATAGGGAGAGGAAGAATGACTTGCACATGGTATTCATTGATCTAGAGAAAGCCTATGACAAAGTCCATAGGGAGGTTCTATGGAGATTTTGGAGGCTAGAGGTGTTCCTGTAGCGTATACTAAGGTGATTAAGGACATTTATGAAGGAGCTAAACTCGGGTGAGGACAGTGGGAAGGGACTTGGACCACTTTCTAGTTGTGATGGGGTTGCACTAGGGGTCAGCTCTTAGTCCATTTTTATTTGCTTTGGCGTTAGATACACTGACGCGTCACATTCAAGGGTAAGTGCCCTGGTGTATGTTATTCGCGAATGACATTCTACTAATTGACGAGACGTGAAGTGGTGTTAACGCGAGATCGGAAGTTTGGAGACAAACCCTAGAGCCTAAAGGTTAAGTTAAGTAGGACCAAAATGGAATACTTGGAGTGTAAGTTGAGTGATGGGACCAGTGAAGCGGACGCGGATGTGAGGCTTGATACACAAATCATCCCCAAGAAAGATAGTTTCAAGTACCTGAGGTCTGTAATCCAAGGTAATGGAGAGATTGACGAGGATGTTACACATCGTATTGGTGTGGGGTGGTGAAATGGAGGCTCGCATCCGGTGTCTTATGCGATAAGAATGTGCCTCCTAAACCTAAAGGTAAGTTCTACAGAGTAGTAGTGAGACCTAATATGTTGTATGGGGCAGAGTGTTGGCCAGTTAAGAATTCTCATGTCCAGAAAATGAAAGTAGCAGAAATGAGGATGTTGAGATGGATGTGCGGGCATACCAGGATTGATAAGATTAAGAATGAGGATATTCGGGCCAAGGTAGGAGTGGCCCCCATGGAGGACAAAATGCGGGAAGCGAGACTTAGATGGTTTGGGCATGTTAAGAGAAGAAGTGTAGATGTCCCGGTAAGGAGGTGTGAGAGGTTGTCCTTAGGGGGTCTTAGAAGGGGTAGAGGTAGGCCAAAAAAGTATTGGGGAGAGGTGATTAGGCAAGATATGACTTTGCTTCAGCTGACCGAGGACATGATTCTTAATAGGAAGGTGTGGTGGTCGAGGATTAAGGTTGTAGGTTAATAGGTAGTTGTGCGGGTTTTCGGACATTTCCGGTGTTATTAGTAGCATTCTTGTATTCTAATATTGTAAATTTCTATCTTCATGTTGTTTCTTTCGCCTTGTTTTCTTTTATTTTGTTCTCGTTATTTCTTCTTGCTACTGCTCTTTTCTCATTTTTCCTCGTGTCGAGAGTCTACTGGAAACAACCTCTCTACATTCACTGCAGGGGTGTACTATCTACCCTCCCCAGACCCCACTTGTGGGATTATACTGAGTTTGTTGTTATTGTTTTAATTAATTTATAAAATATTAAAAATTAAATACCAATGGGGCTTTGCCCCACACCTCAAGGATTTTGCCTAGCCCCGTGTTAGATAAAACGCCTCGCCTCTCGTCCACGCCTTTTAAAACATTGATCTTGCTCACAAGGGTTGGAGATAGACTTACACAGAGTGTTGTAGCTAAAATTTTGACCAAGATTCTCCGGGTTGTTGCTCCTATATCTCAATCGCTCAAGCCATCCCCTGGGGCTAGAGTAGGAGGAAATTTCTCTTTAACCAATGAGCTTTCCTTCTCTTTTTTTTTTCCATCAATCAAGCAGTTCACAATACCTGGGTAACAGAAGTAGTCTTTAGAGCAGTTTCTCTTCACTCCTGAAAATTTATTGCATCCCTCCCCGAGGAGAAAAAACTGATTTGATAATCACGAACTGATTTGATAATCACGGTGAGGAACTATATATCATCTTATTGCGAACAGTCCCAGATGACACCTGTTCGCTGCACGATATATGTCTTACGGCTTACACTTTACCGTTCTTCCAGTGTTGCTTAAATTCCGTCCTTTATGCAGGAATGGAAATGGCTCAGTTGATATGTGGAGGCTGTCGCACCTTGCTGATGCATCCACGTGGGGCAACTAGTGTGAGATGCGCCTGCTGTCATACGGTGAACCTTGTGCCAGGTACTTTTTTCTTTAGAATTAAAGAATCACATAGTCTGCTTTTGAAATTTAGCTTTTCTTCCTGGAAGCCCTCGTCTTACTTTTCTTTGAGCATATTTTCATATCTAGCTTTTGAGAATATCTACTGTATCTTGACTTCCATTTGTTTTACATTCTTCCAGTAGGATCTTACATTAAGATTTGAATTTCCCCCCCACCTCCCACAAAAAAAAAACCGAAAAAAAGAAATCTGTTGTTTCCGTGCTGATGAAGAATGTTTATTATGCGGAAGAAAAAAAAAACACCTTGTTGATGTAAACTTATGCAGATTGGATTGTGGAACTTTTATGAAGGTCATATTTGTTATTGAAACTCCTAAACTAAGTGGGTGGTCTAGTTTATTCTTTGCTAGCTTGAAGCACTGTAGCACTTCAAATTCTGCTGAAGGCAAGAGTTTGTATACTTTTGCTTTTGTCCGGCTGATACATACTCACTGCAACTTGTCTGTTTTTCACTCACTTTTTTCCAATTTAGCAGTATTCTTGCCTATAAGATAGCTCTAATTAACAATTCTTTTCGATAAGGTAAGTAACTCTGTGCATTTAGTATCCACAGGATACTTGCAAGTACACTTATTTTTTGCCCTTTTATAAGAATAGAAAATGTAGGGAGCGAATAAAATCCACCATTACATGTATTTACAACTTCCGTTTGACACCAAAAAGCTACAGACTGCCGGCATTGAAGTCTTCAATTTCTTAATTGGAGTGTAATTTCCTTAGAGAGCCGAAGGTCTATCGGAAACAACCTCTCTATCTTCGCAAGGTAGGGGTAAGGCTATGTACACACTACTCTCCCCAGACCCCACTTGTGAGATTACTCTAGGTTTTTTTGTTGTTGTTGAGTGTAATTTCCTTAGAAATATCTCCAATTCATCTCTCCATCATGGCAATTGCATATAATAGCGATGGTACTATATATTCTTTACTTTCCTTTCCTGTCTTCGTTGGTTCCAAGATTTGTTTTTTCTTATAAAACATCTATTTTCATAACTTCAGGTATCCTTTTGTTGGAGGGATTAGGAAAAGTCATCTCAACATAAAATCTTGCTTAAAATAATACAATGTTCGGTTGGAGAGGTTAGAAAAATAATCCAATGTAACTAGGTAGCGTTTGGTTGGCCGTATGAAAAAGTCTAATTCCCTAGAAACATCTCCAATCATCTCTCTCCATTATGGCAATTGCATATAATAGTGATGGTATTCCATATATTCTTACTTTCCTTTCCTGTCCTCGTTAGTTCCAACATTTATTTTTTCTTCTAAAACATCTATATTCATAACTTCAGGGATCCTTTTGTTGGAGGGGTTAGGAAAAATAATCTCAACATAAATCTTGCTTAAAATAATACAGTGTTTGGTTGGAGAGGTTAGAAAAATAATCCACTGTAACTAGGCAGCGTTTGGTTGGCTGTATGAAAAGTCCAATTCCTGCATAACTAATGCAACATTTGATTGGTAATGTAAATAAAACCTGTATTAAGTCATGCAGGAACATTCCTGATAAAGAAAAGTGATGCAGGAATCTTTGAATTATTTTATGTAGGAATATAGGATAGAATGTGGAATAAGAAGACGTGTATTAGCAATATTGGAGTAAAAGTATTTAAGTCACTAGTTTAATTCTTGCTTGTCTGTTTGTCTTATCTGTACGCATTTCTAGTGGTTAGAGTTGTAAGTGTTAGAACTTAGACCTGCCTCCTTTAGTTTAATCCTTTGTCTGTTTTAGCGACAGTTCTTGNTAGCTTGTGTCCAGGAGACTAGATGGGTGGGTTCGAAGGCTCGAGATGCTGATGGGTTTAAATTGTGGGTCTCAGGACGCGAGAGGGGTAAGAATGAGATAAGTATCTTGGTTGACAGGGATCTTAGGGAGTTAGTGGTAGAAGTTAGGAGGGTGAACAACAGGTTGATGGCTATTAAGCTAGTTATGGGAGGGTCTACTTTAAATGTGATTAGTGCTTACGCGCCTCAAGTGGGTTTGAACGAGGAGATTAAGAGGCGCTTCTGGGAAGAATTTGACGGGTTGGTACGTGGCATTCCGCTCACCGAGAAGTTATTCATAGGAGGGGACTTCAATGGTCACATTGGGGCGACATCTGGGGGGTATAACGGCGTGCATGACGGCTTTGGCTTTGGAGTTAGGAACGGAGGAGGTACTTCGTTGTTGGACTGTGCTACAGCCTTTGATTTGGTGATTCCCAACTCGTGTTTCCCGAAAAGGGAAGAGCACTTGGTTACATTCCAGAGTTCGTTGCCCAAGACTCAAATTGATTATCTACTCCTCCGGAAGTGCGATAGGAGTTTGTGCATGGATTGCAAGGTTATACCAAGCGAGAATCTCACGACTCAACATAGATTATTAGTGATGGACTTAGAGATCGTGAGGAAGAGGAGGAAGAGGGCCGTGTATGGTCAACCCATGATCAGGTGGGGTGCTTTGACTAGTGACAAAGCGCAGGAGTTCGGGGAAGTTGTTGGCTATGGGAGCATGGAGGAGCAGTGGGGACGCGAGTGTATGTGGACCACGACATCGGAGTCTATTAGAGTAGCTGCGAGAGAAGTGTTAAAGGTCTCGAAGGGTTTCTCTGGCGGCCACAAAGGTGACTGATGGTGGAGTGAGGAGGTACAAGAGAAAGTGGAAGCCAAGCAAGCGGCGTACTTGGCGCTTATAGAGAGCATGGAGGCGAAGAGGATGAACATGGAGGGGTATATGAGGGCTAAGAAAGAGGCGAAGTTAGCAGTTACTGCGGCTAAGACTGCGGCGTTTTGGCGTTTGTATGAATAGCTTGGGGCTAAAGGCGGGGGACAAGAAGCTATACAGGCTAGCCAAGGTGAGAGAGGAAGGCCCGTGATCTGGATCAAGCTAAGTGTATCAAAGACGAGGAAGATAGAGTTTCGATTGAAGAGGCTCAGATTAGACGAAGATGGCTGACATATTTCCATAAACTCCTGAACGAAGAGGGTGATAGTGGCATTGTGCTGGGCGACTTAGAGCACTCCGAGATGCGTCGGGATTTCGGGTATTGTAGGCTCATAAGAGTAGAGGAGGTCGGG